AGAAAGGATGAACTCATGAAATTTACATACAAGTAGTTCAACATAGTCAGTATCATGCTAGGTGAAATGAACCAGAAAGAGAGGGACATACATAGAAAGACTGCACTCATCTGGGGAATATTAAATAACAGAATGGGACAAAACACCCAAGAATAGCGAGATAATTACCAGGACGTCTGCTCCACGGCTTGGAATCCGGCAAAACTGGACAGCTACATGCAAAAAAAATGGGCTCAGAACTCTACCTAAGACAATGCACAAAAGTCAGATCAAAATGGATTAAAGAACCTCAGCATCAGATCTGAATCCATAAGGTCCATTGATGAGAACGTCAGCAAAATCCTCCACATTATTGAAAATGAAAATATCGTCAAAGGTGACATGCCAGTGAACAAGCAAGTGGAAAATGTGATACACTAATGAGACTCGCTTAAACTAAGTACCCTCTGTGCCTCAAAAGAATCTGTGAGCAGAATACAAAGACAGTTTACAGAATGGGAAAGAATATTCACCCAATACCCATCTGATAAGGGGTGAATATCAAGGGAATACAAGGCACTGGTTGAACTCTACAGTAAGAAAACATCCATCCCATCAGAAATGGGGCGATGAAATAAACAGAAACTTTCTCAGAGGAGAAATCTGAATAGCCAAAATGCACATGAAAAAATGCTGTTCATCAGAAATCATCAGGGAGATGCAGATGAAAACAAAAAGATACCATGTCACACCACAGAAACTGGCACATATCCAAAAGAACAAAAGCAACCAGTATTGGCATGGATGTGGGTCGTAGGGCACTTTCTTTCACTGCTGGTGGGAATGCTGACTGGTGCAGCCTTTGTGGAAAACAATATGGACGTTTCTCCAAAAAGCTAGAAATTAAGCTCCGATTTGACCCCGCAGTACTACTTCTGGCAATATATCCTGGAGATACAAAGAATTACAGTAGAAATGACATTTGTACATTCATTGCAGAACTCTTTGCAATAGCCAGAATCTGGAAAAAAATCCAAGTGCCCGAGAACAGATAACTGGTTAAAAACAACTTTGGTACATCTACACAATGGAATACTATGCATCTATTAGAAAAGATGAAATGATGAAATTTGCATATATGTGCATCAATATAGAGAGTTTAACGCTAAGAGAAATGATTCAGAAAGAGAGGGACAGATATAGAATGACTGCACTTATTTGTGGAATATAATGTAACAGTTGGGAGACTAATAGGTGGAATAGAGAAGGGACCACTATTTTTTAAAGATCATTTCTTAAATTTAATCAAATAATTCATATTACATAACTATGGAAAGATATCCTGATTTCATAAATCCTCAAAACAAGGCCAAAAAGATCAAATACGAAGTGTTCCAATCTTTCAATCATTTGAGGCTTTATTAACATGCAAGCACCATTTGCACGATATACAGGTTTTCCTAATCTTCTAGTCCAATGTTTTAAGCCTGGAATTACTTCTGAATCTAACACAAAGTAACTCATTATAGTTAATCACTTAATCACTTAACTTCCCGTTAGTCGTCGATTTGCTCGAGCGGGCGCCAGTAACGTCTCCATTTGTCCCTGTCGCGTGCTAGTATAGCCCAATGGCATCTGTTCGCTCCGGGAATATGAAGAGCCTCAAACCCATCGTTCATGATCTTGACAAAGAAGTCTGACCATCTGGTAGGTGGGCGGCCACGCGGTCTCTTGACATCCCGTGGAATTCAATCAGTAACAGCTCTAGTCCAACGGTTGTCTTTAAATCTCATTACGTGACCAGCCCATCTGATTTTCGACACCTTGGCAAATGAGACAGCGTCCCTGATCCTTGATCGTCAACGGATGTCAGAACTCCGGATTCGTTCTCTCATTTGAGTGAAACGTGATATTCCAAGCATGGCTCTTTCTATTCTTCTTTGGGAGACCTGAATGGCTTTCTCATCTTGTTTGCGTAGGGCCCAGGTCTCTGAGGCATATGTTAATGCAGGAAGAACAGTAGAATCAAAGAGATGTGCCCGGAGCCGGAGGTTCTTTGTCCTCTTAGCTATTTCTTCGACGTTCTTGAAGGCGTTCCAAGCCGCTCTCTTCCTCCTGCGCAGCTCAGGTGCCAGGTCATTGCTCATGTTGACCTCGCGACCTAGGTACACATAGCTGTTGCATTAGGAGATGGTCGTTCCATTGAGAGCGAATGGGGCGTCAGGAACAAGGCTGTTTCTCATAAACATTGTCTTCGTAAGATTCAGCTGTAGTCCTACCTTTCCACACTCACGGTCAAAGTCGGCCAGCATTTGTGCCGCTTGGCTGATGTTTGGTGTTATTAAAACAATGTCATCAGCAAAGCGGAGGTGGTGTAGTTGCCGACCATCTATCTTCACTCCCATTCCTTCCCATTCCAGTCGTCGCATGATGTTCTCGAGGGTGGCACTGAAGAGTTTCGGTGAAATGGTATCACCCTGCCGCACCCCTCTCTTGACATCAACGATCACTTCTTTGTAGAATGGTGAGATCCTGGTAGTGAATCCGCAATACAGCTCACGGAGGATCCAAGGTTAAATAAACTATTTCTAGCTATCACATTGACAGTTCTAATGGTAGTTTAGGTTTTTATAATTAACATTACTTGTCACCAGGTAACAGAATAGAGTTTTGATCTTGAGTCGTTTATACTAAAATATGTGCCCGTATGTTTTATGAAGTTACTAAAATATATGCAATTAACATGTATATTGTTTACTTCACTATTTTCATAAACTAGAAAGTGCAATATTAGGTCTTTTAAGAGTAAAATTTAATTTTATAAGCTTTGGTTGTTTTTAATTTTCTGAAGTTTCTATAACCTTGCTCTGGTCTCATCTAAGCATTACAGTAATGCACAGGGTTGCCCCAGACTAGGCACACAGGAGACTTCTAGAGACTTGTTTCTTGATGGTTGCAGTTCCCAGAAAAACTGATCCATAATAAACCCATCTGGAAGAACTAAGTTGAAAGCTTAATTTATAGACTCTATAATGACAGCACTGTTGTCACTACAAGATAAAAGAGATATAAACTCACGTTCAGTGCCAATCCAATCATCATTGTCATATTCACTTGGGATGATATATTTTAATAGATGATTATGTGTAACAAAGTATACTGTAAGCATTGCATTGTGTATCTCAAAATGTTTCTGATAATAATTCAAATGAAAGGATGAAGATTAGAATAGTACAGGGTAGTCTAGTTCTTAAGGTCTAGTGAGTTTTAGTCTTAATACAGACATACAAAAATGTGAACACAACAAAAAAGTATGAAAGAATGAATATTGGGGCAAAATAACTATAGTAAAGTGCATACTGTGAATTGGTTAAAATGAACAGCACACATTTAAGTAGTCATGTAGCTGACCTGTTGTCTACATGCAGTTAGTAGCTCCAAAAACTGACTTGTAATCTTCCAAAACTGCTTTTAAATCAAGTTCTTAAATCGCAGCTATAAACAAAAGGACAAGAAACATTTAAACTGCAGTTTATCAAAAGACAGATAAGAAATTTCAACCATTATGTCTTTGACAGTTATAAAAAATTGAAATCTTGGCTAAGTTATAAACATGTTTATAATGCAACATTTGCATAATGAATAATGCTAGTAATGATGTCTAGAAGATCAGGATAGTTAAAAAAACATAAAAATACAGAGCCAATTATTTACTTGTAGAACATGTACATTTATGCCTAAATTTTAGCATTTACTGTGCCACCATTAATCTAAAAAATCACATCCAAAATAGAAGGCAAAACCACCTATGTATTGGCATATTAGTTTATTTCTCAGTTTTTGAAGATGTCATTAATTTACTGATGTAGTAAACGAATGTAAGCTCTGATTGCTATGCAAAAGAACAGAAGATAATCTGCTTGGCAATGAACATTAAAAGCTCAACTGCACACAGGCAACATGCTATATATGAAAAGTTAGTAACTGAACTAGGGGTGTTAAATACTGAAAAAAGTTAACAGTTTATTATCATTTATTTTATTTAACAATCTGTCAGAGTTTCCAACCACTGCTCCTGGCTGTCCTCACCAGGGGCCCCTTGGAGGGATGCGGATTGAGTTTCCCTCCCTACCCAACCAGGGTTCCAGCAGCCAAAGGCCTCCAGAACCAACCACCACCATGCTGAGACCACTCTCGACGCATGAAGGTACTGGCAGAGGAACAAAGGCATGCGGGTCCCGGGGCTGAGATCTCCAAAACTGCTCGGATCGAGGCTGAGCATCCTCCACTCAGATCCTCCAAATTCCAGTAGGCAGGGGTCACACCCACCAACTGGCACCCTGACACCGTATAATCCCATCAACAGCCAAGACCCAGAGACTATAAAATCCAGCTTCCGGAAGAGAACAGCACAGAGTTTCCTGTCCCTGCGCCTTGCTTTCCTTGCCAGGGCCCCTTGGAGGGATGCGGGTTGAGTTTCCCTTCCTGCCCCAACCAGGGCTCCAGCAGCCGAAGACATCCAGAACCAGCCACCACCATGCTGAGACTACTCTCGACGCATGAAGGTACTGGCAGAGGAACAAAGGCATGCAGGTCCCGGGGCTGAGATCTCCAAGACTGCTCAGATTGAGGCTGAGCATCCTCCACCCAGATCCTCCAAATTCCAGTAGGCAGGGGTCACACCCACCAACTGGCCCCTGGCACCCTGTAATTCCCTCAATGGCCAAGATCCAGAGACTATAAGACCCAGCTCCCGGAAGCGATATCTTATTATCTCATTCCTATATTGGAAAAACTGGCAGGCTACTGAATATAACCTGCCCACAGGGCAGAGTCTGGCAAATTCCCCATGGCGTACCCAATACGCCAAATACCAGTAACAATGATGTGTCTCATTCTCTTAACTCTGAAAGAGCCTTGAATATGGCACTGTTTAAAAAATCTCAGGGCTAGGACGCAGGAGACATTACTGGGGCCTGCTCAAGCCAATCGACGAACAACAGGATGGTCATGATCGTGATTTAACAATCTAGGAAATTCGCAGCCATCAGCAGTTTCAGTGCAATTTCAGGCACAATTGGGAATTCAGGAATCTCGGTGGAGCTGTTAGTGTAATGAACCTTGTAGGTGAAAAACACGCACACTTTGAATAGCACATGTGAAGGGATCTCTGTAAAATTGACTTCATTGGTTTCATTTTCAGCAAACTGACTTGGGCCACTCAAGATGGCTTTTATTGTTCCTGATGTTAACACATGTTCTCTTTTTACAAAAAACTCATGGCCATCAGAGGATATTAATTTGACATACATAGCATCAGGGCCTTCACAGCCACCATAGGTTTTCTCTTCTTCATCCATTATGTTCTTAAGAAGTTCTACTTCACTCCCAGAGGAAATTTAGGAGTTTCTTGTCAGCTGTGCAGCCACCACAACCACCGCGCCCTCTCCCGCGCCCCGCCGAGAAGGGATCACTATTTAAATGATTCTTGGAGGGTTCACTCGGATGTTAGATTCCTGCTAAAAGTAGACCATAGAGCAACCATGATGGCCACTTGCTATATGCATTGCAAACCACAACACCACAAAAGAGAGAGAGAGAGAGTAAAAGGGAAAGTGTTTGCCACAGAGGCAGGTGGGAGAGATTGTGTGGGGGTGGCAGGAGGGATACTGGAAACATTGGTGGTGGAGAATGGGCACTGGTAGAGAGATGCATACTCTATCATTTTATGACTGAAATGTAATCAGGAAAGTTTGCAAATTCGTAACTGAACGTCATGGTGATTCATTAAAAATGAAAAAAATAGAAGTAAACCAATCTAAGGGAAATATATTTATACAGAAAGGTAGATAGACAGACAGACAGATATGCACACAAGGCTAAACCTTAACAACATGTTACTAATCTATTATAGAAGTGCTTAATGGCTCCTGGGTGAAATACAACCACCTTGACATACTTTCCTCTAAGAAACAATTTTGGGATCATTTTTAGAGAATTATTCATAACAAGCAGTCCAAAAGTAATTCTTTAGGCTCAGCATTAGGGCAGGGTTTTAGGTTTGGGATGGAAACATTTGAAATATGGTGGTGAGAAGGTGTGATGTGGTGTATTGGTGTTTGTATATTAAATGCACTCAAATATTGTGAACAACTGTATAAAAATTAAATTAAATTAAAAATATTTTTAAAGATCAAAGCAACAATTCTGAGTGTGGAAAACTCTATGAAGAGGAAAACAAAATCAAGAATATCTTAGAGGTTTCTGTATTCAATTATCAGGTGTTCACTAATAAAATTCAGCACGATCCACAAGGTTCATGCTGAAAACTGAATGCTGAAAGCCCCAAAGGTGCCATGTGAAGACAAGGATCATATGAGTCCAGCACTAAGCCAGAGGCTTAGGACAGTGATCATAAGAAAACACTTGGTTGTCAAAAAATGAAAGTGTATAGAGCAAGACCACTTAAGATCATGTTTGAATCAGTGCGGACTTATAATATTGAGTATTGAATAGTGGAATATTCTGCTATTCACAGTTCTCACACTTCAGTCTATAAACCAGTAGGAATTTCATCTTGCACAAAGCACCATAGCACTGTCCTCCCATTGTTCATTTATTTGTTCAAGTGGGCCCAGGAAGGTCTCCCTTGTGAGACTTGTTGTTACTATGTTTGGTATATTGAATATGGCATGGTAGCTTGCCTTGCTTTGCTGTGCAGGCAAGATACTCTCGATAGCTTGCCGGGCTCTCTGAGAGGGGTGGAGGAATCGAAATCAACTCAGCCCAGCTGAGTAAATATATTTACTAAATTTTAATATTGCAATACGTCAGCCAGAGCACTAGTAAAGCAGATAGGTATTTGGCTTGGTCAGGGACCTATCCAGGTTCAATCTAAGGCTTCCCATATTTTTTGACAAGCACTGCCAGGTATAATTACTGAGTTTTGAGCAGGAGTACCTCTGAGAATTTTTAGGGTGCCCCTGCAAACAGTAATACCTTATGAAGTACCCACTGTATGCAAGCCACAGTTTTAAGCATATTAAGAGGCATTTGTTGATAACACTTTGTTAGAAATGCTCTAGCATCAAAGATATCAGAAAAAAGAGACAGTATGTGGGAAATTGTCTGCCATGAAGGAAGGGGGAGGGCCAGAAAGGGGCGGTATAATGGGCGATTGGTGGTGGGCAATGTGCACTGGTGGAGCCATGACTGTTTGAACATTGTATGTTTGTAACTCAAACATGAAAGCTTGTAACTGTATCTCATGGTGATTCAATAAAATAAAATTTTAAAAATATATAGATTCAATCAAGAGAACTCTCAAAAAAAAGAGAAGACGAGAAAATAAAAAGTGATTCAAAATCTATTTAGAATCCCATCCCTTCCCCGCCCCAATGGAGTTAGCCCCAGCACCCCAAAACCTCCAGAACTTGAAAGCCATGATCATGGCCACTATCAGCATGTGTGTACAAGCCTCATCTATGAGTTATCTGTAGAAAAACTCAGGTATGTGGGACTTCTGACGGAAAACCCCAGGCTCAATGAAATCAGAGAATGGGTGACCTTTCCCCATATCACCCTGTTTTCAGCAGCTTGGTAGTCACACAAAAACCACCTCTGGTGCCATATAATCTCATAAATGGCCGTAATCCAGAGACTCAACAATGAATCTCTCAGAAGAGAGCACAGAACAGTACACCATAGATATGGCCCTAGGACCCATGCCAGCCTGTTTTATTCAAGGAATCCCAGAGGGGCGTGGAGTGGTCCAATGGAGCCAGCCCCAGCAGCTGAAAACTTCTTCCTTCCTTCCTTCCTTCCTTCCTTCCTTCCTTCCTTCCTTTCTTTTTCCTTTTTTTAATCCCTTCTTCCTTTCTACTTTCCATCATTCCTTCCTTCCTTCCAACCCTGTTTCCTTCCTTACATATGCCTTACTGCTTTCTTTCTTTCTTTCTTTCTTTCTTTCTTTCTTTCTTTCTTTCTTTCTTCTTTCTTTCTTTCTTTCTTTCTTTCTTTCTTTCTTTCTTTCTTTTTCTCTTTCTTCTTATCAGTCTTCTTTTCTTTCTTGGTTTTGCTAATTAGGTCAGCAAATATTTTCTATTTAAAAAACTACACATAGTCAATTGGTTACTCTTTGAGGATCTGTCCCTGTCTGCTCATCTCTGCAGTTGTAGTATGAAATCAGTCCCTGGCCACTTGGGTGATCTTTCCCCAGCAAAGTTCCTGATTCTGTCTTCGCACTGACTCCTCCTGGCTCATCTTTTTTCATTTCTAAAATATATTTTTGTTCCAGCATTGAGGAATAATGTAGGGGTTAATATGTTAATATTTACAGTGACTGACCCTGGTTCTATCTCCAGCACCAAATATGGTCCCATGAGCACCACCAGGAGTCACTCCTGAGCACAGATAGAGGAGTACTTGAGTATCACTGGGGCTACCCCAAATCCGCTCTCTCTACACACACAAAAAATACACATACATAACACACACACATACACACATACACTTCCTGGGCTGGATTGATAGTACAGTGTGTAGGGTGCTTGCCATGTATGACGACAATCCTCAAGGGTTCAAGGGACCATAAGTATTGGGATGTCAGGGATTGAATCCAGTCGACCATGTGCAAGGCAAATGCATTTCCCACTGGATTATCACTTTGATCCAGATGAGGACACTATTTTAAATGACAACGGCCTTCAAGTATTTCTTGTGGTCTTTCTGATTCTTTTTAGAGGTCCTCAATTATCCCACCATACTTGGGATTTTCTGATGGTATAATTTGTTGACCACAAGAATTGGTTACAATCTGTCTAAATTGTTTCTCATATGCCAAATCCAATTGTCACTTTGAACCTCCATTCAGCAGCGGTCAGTCACAGAGAATGAAAAAAAACATAGAAGTAGACAAACTTGTGGATTGGCCATGATTTAGGGTCACCTGTGCAGCATTCAGTGGTCTCCAGGCAGGTCAATATAATGCAATATTTCACCCCAACCCCAGCAGATCTCTACAGTTGAGCCATTGTTGGAGTTGACAGAGACATCAAGGACAGTTAGGAAGTATATAAACGTGCCACAGGCATGAGGAGAGCAGAGGCTAGTGTAGTTCAGAGAGAATCATTAGGCATCTGTAAACTATAAAGTTGTTTGAACAGGAGAGAGAATTCAGTGGGCAGGGTACCTCTCTTGCACCCAGTCTACCGAACTCCTCCAGGAGTGATTCCTGTGTGTGGATCCAGGAGGAGCATGGCTAGGTGAGGACCCAAAATCAAAATAAACAAATAAAAGATTGTGAAAGTTGTTCATTCTAGTTTTTGCTATATTGTTCCCTAAATCTAAAAGACCCTACAAAGTATTAGTCTATGTTTGCTGACAGAAGGTAACAGCTGGCAGATACTGTCTCATTTATTCTATCTTTGCCTTCTCTTCTATCTGGGTGCATGTTTGCTAGTGGAATATCTTAAACTTAGTGGTTTTTGTTATGGGAAGACTGCTAATAATAATTCATCATTTCCTCACACTAAAGTAAGTAATAATGTATATTACAAAGCATTAACATGCAATTTAATATTATTAAACATTATACAAAATACACTAGTAGTAATTTAATCTTGTTGGTTAACTAGGCAATATAAATTATTACCTAGTACCTGTTGATTTATTAATGAAATATGTAAGCTCCTCAGTATAATAGGAGTATTTCCCTAGCCTAAGAATCTGAGGAAAGTGAAACTGTTATAACTGGCTAGTAAGATTCCATCTCTCTAGCCTGCTTAAGTCTACCTCTCAGTCTATCCAATCCAGTCTTCTTCTTTGGAATCTGACCCCCCTATTGGCTAGCCTCTACCTTTCAACTGCCTGCTTTATGACATCATTCTCCCACCAAACCTACCAGCACCTGGTAGAATCTTGGGGCTCTTGTGCAGTTGTTTGTAAACAAGTTTGTATCATCGCGAGTGACCAGTGACCAATGACCAATCACCAGTGATCAGTCATCTGTACTGGACACTTGTGGACTCCCGCTTCGGTGGTCAGACATACTCTAATATCGTCTCCTCTTCTCATTTACCTTTCCTTGATATTTCCTCATTTCTGATCAAGTCAGGTAAGGAATAATATTTTTCAAAGCTTTTTATGAAATTTCTTATCCATAAACTTAGTAGTTAAGGAAAAGCAGCATGGAAAAATAGAAGAAATTAATCAACTAGAATATGGTAAGCCTGACTTTAGTTTGACGTTCACATTTGCTGTGTGATTTTAGACAGTGACTTCCTTTCTCTGAAATATAAAGGCTATTTCTTCATTTATTAAATTATAGTTGATACATATTTACGACCTCAAGTACATGTTTATATATGAATGTTCACTCTCTGTGTTTCCTTTTGCTTTTAATAGTATTTTGACATGATATCCATGAAATAAAGTAAATC